AGAAAAAAAGAAGAGGGGGCTTGACAAAAACATTTAGCAAGGACTGGAGCCCAGCCTCCTCATCTGAAAGGAGCATCCTTTCTATTCATAGACCCTCTTCTGGAATCATGTTTTTAGTATATAAAATTAACATACAATAACAAAGACCAACTATATCAAAATGAAATTATCAAAATATTCTTAAAAAAAAAAACAAAACCCAAATGTGTGATCTAGTACCACATGCTTTTCTAGAACGGTACATTAAAGAACAGTAACTAGCAGCTGGTCTTGGCCCTATTGTCATTTCCAAGTTGTGATGAACATATGTGATTCTACACAATGTCCGCAACAACTGCAATGGGGTATGAAATCTGTGATTTCTATTAATGACAAAATCACAGATACTAATGCTGGTTTCTTGCTGACACTCAACATTAAGTTTCAGTTAGAACGTAGTGAAAACAAAAATACATGTATTTTTTCACATCCGGAATCATAGACCCTCAAATTATACATATGGGTCACTTGGGGGTTCATAGACCCTGTTAAGTATCCCTACATTGCACCACTTTGTATGGTATCCAGGAAAAAGTGCAAAGGACTCAAATATTTAATAAGCCCTTCTCGTTTAATTACCTAGGGAGGATGGTTTCCCATCTCAGCCACTGGCGAACAGCAAAAGTAACATCTAAGGAGACTTCTTGTCATTCTTTGAAGAGCGCATAATAAACTACCCGATTTAGTAGGCAGGTAAGTCCCCTAAATGCAAATAGGTTTCATTGTGTTTGTGTCAACTCTCAGGTTGTAGGGAATGCTAGGGTGCTGTCTGCAGAACAATTCTGGGGTTCTGTTTCCTGCTGGGGGTGTTGGTAAATTATGCAGTGGATTAATGTGATTATTGATGTCTGCTCCTGAGCCCAGAAAGAGGAGTGGTGACCCCCTGATCCTATTAACTCCCAACCCTAAATGCTGAGCACTTCTTCCTAGACCTGCAGCCTATCTCTTAATGCAATTGGTGCCACCAGGAGCCTGGGTTTAGCAATTCAGTCCTTAGCAATTCTACACCAAATGTGTGATGTTAACACATAAGGTAAATTAGCCATGCAGACGTTCGGCGTGGCTTTTCTTTTTAACAACAAATGCCATTGTTTATTAGCATGACAATATACTACAATGAAATGATGCTTATTAAGAAGCTATCATTTGGAGAACGATATCAACACGTGGAAGTACTTCAGAAAACATGATACTTCTTGTTTAAAATACTGTTAAGCTCTGCTTAACAGGTCCTCTCAGAACTAATAGAAACTCACAGTGAAGCTTCCAGGCACCACCAAGAGCCAAGGTTCTGAACTACAGAGCCAGGAGGCTAAGTGCTTCCCCAAGGCTGTGACTTTCCCTCCGACGTGCCCGGGGGTCGCAACTTACCATGAAGCGGGTTTCTGGGTATCTGACCAACAGATACCCAGAAATCTGGGTATGGCTGCCCTCTAATCTTGGGTGTTGGTCCTTTGGTCCTATTGCTTTAGTTAGTGAGGGTAACAGCTACCCGACCCAGACCTGCAAGGGAAGGCAGCTTCTGGAGCTTGATTCTGTACGTTATTCTCCTCAGTACACCACACAGATGAGGCAAATGTGATGTGTATGCATATGCAAATGTGATGTGTTTGATCTATGTGTAATATATATATCGCGCGTGTGTGTGCGTGGCGCCTATCTCCATTGTCCTTCTCCCTTTGGAATTGCTTTCCCCCCACTGTTCAGGATGAGAAGGAAAAGAGCATCCAGTGAGCGGGTGGGTAGTTATCTCAATTCCCTGACCCTTAACTTTAAGTCAGTTTGACCAGACAACTTAGTTTGGCCTTCTGGCTTCTACTTAACCATTCTTCAGAGACTCTATTCCTCCAAATAACCTCATTGGCAGTGAATTTGACTCCTGATGCTTCCAAAGCTTGAAATGGTAGTGTGTTTTGAGATTGGCAGGAAGCTTTCCTCCATCCATTTCATCCCCCTCACTTGTGAGTTTGAGGCTCCTTTGATTTTTGACACTTGGACCAGCTTCACGTAAAATGAGAGCCCCTCCTGGGAGGCAGCAGGAGAGTGGAGATCCAGGGCCTTCCCCCCTTTCTCACTCATCCAGGGCAGACTGCACTAACTGAACGCAACACTCTTTCCTGCAAACCTAGGGCTGGCCTCAGAGTCCTTCTGAACATGATGGAAGCCAACAGTGGAAGTCAATGTGTAAGGGGAAACCTACTTGCCAACCTGACATTGAACCCACGTCAATGAACAGTGAAGGCATGAAGTTTGCATAACTGATCACTAGGTCATTGTGCAGTGGAAGGCTGTGTCCCCCAGCTAACGCTTGAAGTTCAATGTGTGTGCTTCTTAAGCAAGCAAGTTAGATGCTCCTGTTTAAGGGCTTCTCTTAAACCACAACAAAATATCCACCTTGTCCATTAATCTCTGTGGGAGAGCCTAACGGAGAGGATTGCTGGAGGGTGAGATGTGTCACTCCCCTGTGCACTGGGAGGTGCTCTGTTCCTCAGGCATGTCAAGCAGGTCCTGGCACAGGTCAGCCCCTGTGTCCCTCTTGCTCAGTGCCCTGCCTCCTGGCCCCTGGGGTTTGTCCACCCCAGGCCCAGCACTAGCTCTTCCATTTTCCCTAGACCTCCCGGCCTTCTCTGAGCATCATTTGCCCACCTTTGCAAGAACCGAACTCACTCCTATCTCCCTGTTATCTTTGGGAGCAAGCACAGTTTTCTAGCACACCAGGCATTGTGTTAATCATTAGTGGTGTATGATGTTTCATTATCACAAAATCCCCCTTCCCTCCATTTGCTTCTCTCTTTACAGCCTCCCTGATCATTATGTCAGCCATTGGCCATTGGAAGGTGTCCCCTTGCTTAGTAGAGATAATCCCCTTGCTGAACAGAGGTACTCATTCATACTTTTGTACCCAATAACCTTCTGTTATAGATGACTCTCCTGGAGCCAGGCTCTTCTCTCCAGTCCAAAACCATGCCTCAGCACAGTCTCCACCCCTGCACCGTTAACCTCTTGATTGTCTGATATTTCAGGCAGCAAAGGGTCAGCCCCTGCTGCTGAGAGCAAGTCAGGCAGTGGGGTCAGTCCTGTAAACTAACGGCTTCACTTAGCTGCAGCCTTGTCTTCTACACAAAAATCTTCTCTCAACGTTGTAGGCTTCTCAGGGTGGGGAAGAGAATAAGGAATTCATCCTCACCCTGTCAGCTTTCACCCAGGCAAGGAGGGAATCTGAATGGGAATCTGAATCTTAGCTTCAGTCTTCTGGAACACGGTTTAGGCTGGGGCCTCCTGAGCCTCCTAGCTAGTAAGACTGACTTGGGAATCTGAGAGTCTGTCGGTGGGGTGCAGGAAGTACAATGGTGTGCAAAGTGTGGGGTGCCACCCTCCACCCCACCCCCCTGTCCCTGCCAGCCCAGAGAAGTAAAGTGAGCTCAAAACAATTAGCCAAAGGGATCAACTGTCTGTTTCCCAGACATGGCTTCTGGTTAAAGCTACAGCAAAGTATGAAGGTGCCAGGCACTAAGGAAAACATGGATAATCCCAAATGTTCACATTTCCTCAATTTCGAAGTTTTCATGGTGTCTTTCCCACAGCCGTTGTTCCAATAAGCAGAGGAACTGCTGGGCCATGGAAAGGGCCCTGACTTTGGAATGAGAAGACCAGGGATGCGTGCTAGCCCCTGCACTTGCTGGTGGTGTGACCTTGACCAAGTCCTGGGCAGAGCAATCTCGTGGAACCAAACTGCCCCACTGGTAAACAGGGAACCATTAGAATGTCTTGTTCTCTGTGGCGTTATGAGCTTCCAATAGCGCAAGGTAGCCTTGAACGCCAGTTATGTGCGGCAGTTTGCATTACAAAAACAAGGACTTTTTCCTTTTTTCTCCATCATTCAACAGCCCATGATCCTCCCAGGAGCCCCTCTCCCCCCAGCTCTCCTGCCTTGCTGTATCCAGCATTTGCCGGGGCCACCCAAGGCCCGGTAAGTGGGGTGCTCAGTGGGGTGGGGGGTGAATTCATGATGCCTCCATCTCGCCCATGCAGATGGGTAAGGCAGCTGAAATTAATGACATTCCAAGCCACTGCAGTGCTCATCTGCTTAACAATCCAATTTCTAGGACATTTTAGAAGTTGTTAGCTGACTGCCAAAAATGAGGATCATTAAAAATAGATTCACAGCTGTTCAGGAAGCCAGAGATATAATTTTACCTTCATTATGCCTTATTGCAGATGTTATTGATTTAATCTCATTGCATTTTACTGTGTAATATCAATTCACACTGTCTTTGACTTGGAAAGTAGGAACTGTATTTATTCTTCGTATTCTCATAGCACCGATATGCTGAGACTGACAGCCACATGACACCAGGTTCCAAGGTGGTGGCACCATTTGGGCAAAGCCTAATTGTAGGGGTGCGGAGCTAATTCCGTGTCATTGCCCACGAGAAAAATCATCTAAAGATGGGGGTCACTGTGCCTTTTAAGAGTGGGTCTACCCACACAAATAATTTAAATAAATGAATCAAGAGAACACTTGGTTTGGCTTGCATGTCACCAAAAAAGTTGGTTCAATGAGTCTTTCACTTCTCTGGCAATTCTTTTATCCTGAAAATTTCACATTGAAAATTGCTAGAGAATTTAATCTGAAATAAATTAGTGTACATTAGGATATTGTTTTCCAAGAGGGGTTTCTCAGAACATTTGTCTTGAGATACTCTATGATTTTTTTTTTGAAAAAAGGTCTAGGGGCACCTGGGTGGCTCAGTGGGTCAAGCATCTGCCTTGAGCTCAGGTCGTGATCCCAAGGTCCTAGGATCAAGCCCCACGTCTGGCTCCCTGCTCAGGGGGAAGTCTGCTTCTCATTCTCACTCTGCCCCTTCCTCCGCTCATCCTCTCTCTCTATCATTCTCTCTGAAATAAATAAATAAAAATCTTTAAAATAAAAATTAAAATAAAAATTTAAAAAAGGTCCAGTGCTTGTTTGGCACACATATACTAAAATTGGAATGATACAGAAATTAGCATGGTCCCCTGTGCAAGGATGACATGCAAATTCATGAAGCGTTCCATATTTTTATATAAATAAAATAAAATAAAATAGGTCCTAAACCCAAAAAGTCTGGGAAACACTAAATGATAAGTCCTTCTATTAAGGAGTTACAGTATATGTTGGCATATTAAGGTTCCAAGCACGAAAGAAATTTGCTCACTTTGTTTAATCCAGCATTTTCCGAACTAAAGTGATGCAGAATCGTTTGTTCTCCCCACCCATTTACATCTCTGAGTGCTAGTGTGTGGAGGAATACCATTTGGGAATCACTGCTTTAGGACAGTACTGGAAGAAGGAAGGCCAGCTCATCGCTAGGAAGTCCCACACATTTGTTGACTGCCAGTATGGCCGCCATCTTGAACCTAAATGAGCCCTTCCTGATTTACAAAGGTTTGGTTCATGAACTTTTTGACCTGAGTGTCTGTGGCTTCATCTCTCTCTTCCTTTCCCTATTTCACTGTCTCAGCCTCCAGACTCAGGTTCCATCCCATTCACTTCCAATTTCCAGCCTCCCCACCACCCCATCAACTCTGCCCCAAGAAAACTTGCCAAGCTCATCACTCACAGGTGCAGAGGGGTTCGGGGAGGCCCATGCCTACTCTATTTTTACTAGATTCAGCCATTTCCTCAAGTAAGTAGCTCTACACAAGTGAGAAAATTTGTTCATATGGTATGCTCCAAAGCCTATATGACATCAAGTATAAAATGATTCCAAATTTGCCCTATTTTTTTGTAACATGAACATGTTTCATGGCCTTTAGCAACTCATTTAGCCACTCTGTCTTGATGAGTGGTTGGCATAGCACACCTAAAAATGCACAAGTGTCTGTCTATATTTATAAGGGTTTAGAAAAGAGCCCCATATTGCCAACAATGGCATCTGAAAGGGTTCCATATGCACCACTTGGTTTGATGAGCTCACACTGGAGGTTTTGCCAACCGCAGTGGACATCATCAAGGATGGTGTGGCCCAAGGAGTTTTACTCCCTTTCTGCCTACTACCTTGCAGACTTCCAGATGTCACTAGCTTCCAGGCTGCTGAAGGTCTGTGGGGTCCTCATACATTTATGTCTATGTCACTTTCTTTTATTTCATAGAAAATATTATCCCTTTGATCATGACGTCTAACATTTGCTACCAGGTGGCAGAGAATGTTAAGCAACTTCATTACTATCTCTCTCTAGCCCTTCCTTGCTCTTCCCCACCGCAACTTGGCTGATTTCCCTACACCCACCCAGTCCCCAGCGGTGACTTAGTATCACTTCTCAGGATGACGACCATGGGCAAATTTTGGGCAGGGTTTAGGCCCAAACCAGGGTTCAGAGCACAGACCTGATCTTATTTGGTACTTATTCCCCACAATTACTAACTCCCCAATAACAGACATCTTGTGCCCCACCCCTGGATTGTGAGCCACACCATGCCTGGGCTTTTACTTCCCCACCTGTCCACAGTGGTGACTAGCACTGAGCTCAATGCCTACTAACTCATTGCTGGTTTAGCCTCTCCCAGCCAGTAAGGGATAGAGTCAGTGTGGGATTCAAAGTCTCTCGATAGGCAGATTCATCACACTGAACCAGTTCGTCCCGAGATGTGATTCTACAGAGCGGTCAGCTTACTCCTCCGTGGACCGATGTCATTCTCACAGCAATTCCACTCTAGTAACGTAGGTTGAAAAGCTAGCTGGGGATCATAAGTGCATACATTGTTGTGCCACAGAAAATTATCCAGATTTTTTTTTTTTTTTTTAGCAATATAGCTTATGCATACAGGTTCAAGAATGGTGTTTGGGGCAGGCAGGTGGCACAGCTATATTGACAAACTCATAAGGTCATAGGTGTTCCAACTTGAAAGAGATCGTGGAGGATGTTTAGAGGAATTTCTTATTTTTGTAGTTAGGAATTTGAACTCCAAAGACTGGCACAACACAACTAATTGACTAGGTAATGCTGGAGAATTCCTTTTTACATAAACCCAAATGGGAGAATTCATTTTCCATTCCTTTACTGATACCTATTTTTCTTTCCAGTATTTAAGTTATGTTACATTTTAGTAGCTCTGATGTGGTTCAGAATTATGTCCCTTTTGAAATCAAACTAAAGTGAAATCTCCAAAAAAACTCTAAAGAATCTGAGACAATGACAGACCACAAAGGAAAACTCAATTTGGACCCATACTTGAATGTCCTGAAAATTAATGCAAGAGCAAAATATAACTAATCTGTACACTGTACAGAAAATAGGTTTAGGACCTACTTTATTTTATTTATATAAAAATATGGAACGCTTCATGAATTTGCATGTCATCCTTGCACAGGGGACCATGCTAATCTCTGGTTTGAAAATTTGTGGTCACTGTGAGCGGTTGAGGTTTAGACTTAGGAGCCAGAAATACAGAGCAAAATATAACTAATCTGTACACTGTACAGAAAATAGTTTTCCTTCCCCTAGCATACTTATATAAGTATATTATATAATCATATACTTATATATGACAGACCCAGACATATTAAGAAAATAATAGAAAAATAAAAATGCTTCTTTACAGGACTTAAGCTACTCCATTAACATTGCTACTAAACAAAGGAATAAAAAAATAAGAAATTAAAAACAGGCATTAAGAAAACTAGCAGAGCGGCGCCACCTAGTGTCAATAATCTGAAAAAGCATCTGCCCTTCCCTGCGCCCTCCTGTGGTAGAGTTTACCATTCTTCGTAGTCAGGAAAGCGAATTTTCTAAACATTGGTTTCTTTTCTCCGCTCCAGATGGGAGATGGAAAGAGAGAGCATCTCAACACATTTTCTTAGCAAGGTATACTTTCATTCACTATATTTAAGACAAAACTACGGAGATCCAATTTCCCGTTGATCACACAATCGTCTTCCTTTACACATGATTTCAAGTAAACTGTACTCATTAACCTTTAAAATTTGAATAATCTTAAAAGATGTAAGCCCTTCAGTTACCATGACATTCTGTTCACATGAAATTTTATGAACGTCATCCCTGTATCAACATTTTAGTAACACTTCAAAGCCAAAACAAACTTTAATTAAAAAAAAAAAACTAATTTAGAAGTGAATATGAGAGAATATGAGCCAGAAATAAGATTCATCTTCCTCTGTGCCTCGGTTTACCTATCTGTAATGTGGAAATTGTTCTGACTCCAGTCTACCTACCTTCCTTTAGGAGTGGGGAGAGTTGCCATTGATAGGATTACATGAGATTGTCCATGGATGCTATCAAAGAGTAGAAAGTATACGATTTAGACAAAACTAAGACATTTTGTTATTTTTATTAAGAGTTGAAAATTTTGGTGTTGATCTCTAACATCAGCACTGCCCGAGTGAAGGAAAGAACAGTGAATTAGAGAACTAGATGAACTTTACCAATCCCATGATTTATCCTTGGGTAAGTTATTTAAGTCTGGACTCTGTTCTCCATAGGGCCTGTTTTGGTTCTAATATCCTACAGTTAGATAATACGATTGCAATCTCCCTGCCACTGTCCCAGCACAGGCCCTCGTTACCTCTTATCTGGACTATTGCAATATCTTCCTAACACATCTCTCCCAGCTCCAATCCATCCGGGCAAGTAATCAAGGAAGACAGGTATTTCCAGCTTAAATCTTCCTGAAGTGTAAGTCCAATCATTCCATTCCCCTGCCTAAAAGCCTGAAATGGCTCCCCATGGCATTTTGCAGGGCAACCAGCCTTTATTGGCATCTACTCTGTGCCAGACAGTATAATTGGTGCTTTCCATGCCCAGTGTCATTACATTCATGCAATGACACTTTAGTTTGGCAGGACATACCCCGTTTTCATGGGGGAGGAAGCTGAAGCTCCTAGTTGTTCAGGGAACTGATTCAATTCCCAGTGAAAGAATGAAGAGTCTGGAATGCAAATTCAGGTCTCTGGTTTGAAAATTTGTGGTCATTGTGAGCAGTTGAGGTATAGACTTAGGAGCCAGAAATGCTTGGGTTGGAATCCAGGCTCTGCCAAACATGGTTACAAATTGTGTGACCTTTGGAAATTTCCTCACCTCCCTATGCCTCAGTTTCCTCATCAGTAAAATGGGTGCTTAGTGAGTGTTTTGTGTTACGATTACCACATTTTCTCATTGAACTAGGTATGAAGTTCCTCCCTTAACATTCAAGGGGCTTTTAACCTTTTGTTTTTTCTCCTACTACTTTCCTAAGAGTCCAATGCTGAATTGTTCCAACCCCTCCCAACCCCACCCTCACCCCCCATGCTTACAAGTGTACTGACCTCCCCCCCAAGGTCTCTGCTTTTGCTACTGCTGGTGGTTTCCCTCTTCGGGAAGTCTGTTTCCTCCTCTCTACTGACCCCTAGTGGTTAGCACAGTGATGGGCATACGGCAAGCACGAAATAAATGTTAGGTGTTATCAGTATCGTGGTAATTGGTGGTATTATTAATATTCTTCAAAGCCCAATGCCAAAGCCACCTCTTTCATGAAACATTTTCCAATCCTCATGTGAGGTGTTGTCCTCTTCTGAGCTACCTGATTGTTGCCCTACCTATTACTTAGCACACTCTCAGGTGATGCTGACCAATTCAGTACTTGCCAGCCACATGTGGCTATTGCCCTTGAGATGAGGCTGGCCCGAACGGAGATCTGCTATAGGTGTAACATAGATCCATATCCAAAGACTCTGTATAAATAAAAAGAAGTGTTAAAAAGTTTCATCAGTATTTTAATTTTTAATATTTTAATTTTTATTGATTACATGTTGAAATGGTAATATTGAACATATTAGGTTAAATAAAATATATTATTAAAATTAATCTCACCTGATTCTTTTTATTTTTAATTAAAATTACATGCATGATTTCCATTATATTGCTATCAGAGAGCACTTTTCTAGGGTACAGTTATTTTTAACTATTCTGATTAGAAAATGTAGTTCAGAGTCATGGTATAAAGTTGAGAAAATATAGAAAAGCACAGGGTAGAAAAGGTGGTGTGTCTCACCACTCAGGAAGAAACACTAATGTATATGTTCTAG